GTCAAATTTTTGATGACTCCATGGTCACGTCCCAATCTTGTAAAATTCATTGTATGATAATGTCAATACAATGCGCACAAAATTACAAAGAAGAAGAATATAGGCTATAAACAGGACCATAACCGATGTTCAAACCCTTGTATAGTTTGAGACAATCAGAAAAAATATCCAAATATTGGTGAATCGAAAAATCACCATGGTATGAACACAATCAAAAATGAGAAAGAAAGCAAAGGGGGGGAAGTAAGAGGTGAACTGCAACCAAAATTAAATAAATACCATCAATAAAGCCAAAATCAATCAAAACTAATTTTTCTACCACTCTACTTAGTTGATTGCTTGCAGTATTATTGTGAGGTTCCCATATAGTTAGACAGTTGGTTTTGCAATATTGGGTTTCTATAAAAAAATTCAAAGCAATGTTAAAAAAATTTTCAGTGTTTATAGCTACAAAGAAAAAGGAAGAAAAGAGAGTTGAAAAAAAAAATAAAAAAGAGTTGCAAAAGAGACCAAACTCAACTTTGGAACTTCAATTCGCACCCTCGGACATGTAAGCCTAGTACACATTTTTGAACTAAACTAAGAAACTGAACTTGATTGATGACGCATTTCATTATTGCAAGGAACTTATTACCTTACTAAAAAACAAAAATAAAATAAAATAAAGAACAATGACCGAGAGTAACATGCATGATTTTTTGCTTTATTTGAATAGTGTGCGCTACCATGTCGATTGTTGCAATTGCCTTGTCCAAATCGTCAAGCGCCTCAATTTCTTCTCCACCCTTAATACACAAATGCTGAAGAGTTGAAGACTTGCTTCTCTACCCATATACTCCTTTAATGGTTTCCATGTTACGTGGTAAGTTTAGATACAGGACAAAGCAAGCAAGAAGTCTTTTTTAATTATGATTTAGTATTTTTAAGGGAGTCTTTCTGAAAAAAATGAAGACATAAGAAACGGAAATCCAACTCGTATACTCTTTCCCAAGCCACTATTAGATGACCTCAAAACAGTGAGTGATTTATAAAGTCCAACTGTACCACATGGTTCATTTAGAAATGTTGGCATTTCAGGTATGCAAAAATGTACAAATGGCTATTCATTTTTAGTAGTCCATGAAATGCTCTGACAGCAGAGAGAACTAAACAAATTCCTACCATGTTCTAATTGATATGTTTCATGTGAATGATCAGAGCAAATTGATTTCCTACCAATAACATGAATGTTTGCGGCAATGCTTTATGGAAAAAGCAATGGAGATAAGATAAATGCAATGGAATTTAGGACTTTTGCACACAATCTCATACATATTGATTCAGCGTGCAACAATTCTAAAAAATAACAGCATGTTTATAGAGATCAGATTGTATGAAATTCACAAACAAATCAAATCAAGATAAATAAGACCAATAACATGAAATCAAATAAATTTAATTATCTATAGAGAGAGAGAGAGAGAGAGAGAGATTCTTGCGATACACCCAGACCTAATGAAAAGAACTAGTGAGTTGTGTCATACTATACAACTAGGGATAACTCGTGTCTGAAGACACAGTACAACATAAATCAACCAATTAATTTGGAAAAGTGAGGAGTGAAGACCCCTGAGAGTAGTGACAGAGCCAAAAATATGATTTATGGTGGACACACTTTAAGTATAATAGATAAAAATAGTGTGATATATTTATATTTTTTATATTAAATTTGATACTTAAAAATTCATTAAACATAAAAAAGGTCTATTTGAAAAAATTAATAAGATTACATCTATACATTAAGAATCAATAATATAATTTATTTGATACAAATAAAAATAATATTCTATCATTTTTAATCTTTTTATAGATTTTATATTTTACTCATTTTTGGCTATATAATCTATAATTTTTGAACTAAAGGAGACTTCAACAAATCATACCAATACTCTAAGAAATCAATTTTAGTTTATTAATTTTAAGAGATTTGGTATGAACTTTTTGTTTTTATTTTTTTGTTCTAATACCCAACTTGTTTGATCCAATTAATTTTGTTTTTCATAAATCATTACAGTGAGTCCAACTAATCTAAAAAAATATATAAAACATATATAATTAAAAAAATATTTTTTTTTAGGGTGACCCCAAGCCTCTCCTCCTTCCCTCATTGCCAAGGAAAGAGAGTGAAGAGTGAGAAGAGGAAGATAAAATTTAATATGAATGGTATTGAGAGAAATGTTGGTGGCCGTTGAATGAGTTTATTTGAGTCCATCAGATGGGCTTGTTGAACTCGCTCTGTTTTATATTATAGAATCCACAAAATATAATAGAATTGACTTAAAAAAACATTAATTTATATACATGTAATCAAAATCGAATATTAATTTATATACATATAATCAAAATCGAGTGAAAATTTAATACAAACTAAAAATCTAATTTATCAAAAAACATATCGCCAAAATATTTTCTATTAAAAGAAAATCTACAAATATTATTTATAAAATATTATTTTTTTAATCAGTACAAGTTATTAGAAAATTATTAATTTATAAGAATATATAAGTGTTGGGTTTTCCTAAGAGATAAAAAAAAATAATCTTAAACTTTGATTTCTAGACATGTGTAAGGCATGTTAGTTTGAAATAGTTAATTAAATAAATAAAATTAATTATATTTAATATAAATGTGTTAAGCAGCGTCCTTGTTTTTTTTTAATCTGTTAAATTAATGAGTTTTTTTAATCAAAATATTATCATGGTCTCTTATACAAATTTAAAATGTTATACTACACAATATATATTAACAGCAAATTTGAACCATTTAATTATTATGTTAGAGAAAATCTTGTGATTCAAGTCTGTCGTAATTTTTGATTGGTTGGGAGGAAAAATATTAAGGAAAAAATGTTAATTTCTTGACCGTTGGATGAATAAATTTGAGACCGTAAGATGTGTTCCAAGATCAGCCGTAATCGTTGACCGGTTGAGAGGGAAATATTAAGGAAAAAATGATAATTTCTTGACCGTTGGATAAATGAATTTGAGATCGTATGATGGAGTTGTAGAAGTCGTCATATTTTATATTATAGATTATAGATATAGATTTGACACAAAAAAAGTAATATTCTATATTTTTTTTAATTACAAATTCCGTATTTTACTCATTTGGCTATGTATTCCATAATTTTTGAACCAAATGAGGTTTCAACATATCATACCAATACTTTAAATAATCAATTTAGTTTGCTAATTTTAAGAGATTAGTATGAACTTTTTGTTTTGTCTTTTTGTTCTAGTACCCAACTTATTTGACCTAATTAATTTTGTTTTTCATAAATTATTGTAGTGGGCCCAATTAATCCCAAAAATATATATAAAACATATATAACTAAAAAAATATATATTTTTTCAAGATGGCCCCATACCCCCATCTCTGTCACTGCTACAGAAATAGAGTGAAGAGTGAGAAGAGGGGGTAAAATTCAATATGAATAATTTTGATAGAGATATTGGTAGTCGTTGGATGAATGAATTTTAGACCATAGGATATGTCTGTTGAATCCGCTCTATTTTATATTATGAATTTTATAAATAAATTCACGAAATATGATAAAATTAACTTTAAAAAAATATTAATTTATATATATGTAATCAAAGTCGACTTAAATTTAATACAAACTAAAATTTTAATTTATCAAAAAACATATCATCAAAATATTTTCTATCAAAAAAAGATCTATAAATATCATTTATAAAATATTATTTTTTAATTAGTACAAGCTATTACAAAATTATTAATTCAAAAACATATATTAGCGTTAGATTTCCTTAAGATATAAAAAAAAATTAGTCTTGAATTTTTAATTCAAGATATGTATAAGACATGTTAGTTTGAAATAATTAATTAAATAAATAAAATTAAAATTAATTATATGCAATATAAATGCGTTAAGCGGCCTTGTTTTTATTTTATCTTAAATAAATTGATGAGATTTTTTTAATCAAAATGTTATTATTGTGTCTTATACAAATTCAAAATATTATACTACAAAGATGATATTAATGGCAAATTTGACCCATTTAATTATTATGTCAGAGAAAATCCTGTATTCCAAGATCAGTCGTAATCATTGACCAGTTGGGAGTGAAAATATTAAGAAAAAAAATGTTAATTTCTTGACGGTTTGATGAATAAATTTGAGACCGTAAGATATGTTCTAAGATCAACCGTAATCGTTGACTTATTGGGGGGAGCGGAGGGGGAATATTAAAGAAAAAATTGTAATTTCTTAACCGTTAAATGAATGAATTTGAGACCATAGAATTGACTTGTTGAAGTCATCCTATTTTATATTATAGATTACTAAAATCAACACAATGAAACAAAAATTATCAAACACAAAGTTGTTAAAGAAAATCATTGAGGAATACAAAAAACGAAGATATTTACTATGAGAATGTCATTCACCAAAATTGAAAAATATTAAGGTGCAAAATGCAAAGAAAGAATCTGATGAGAAAACCCTTCATAAATATCTTGGAAAGCAGTATCAAATTTTAAGTTTATTGTAGTCCAAAGCAAAAGCAACTAATGACATAATCATTGAATTGAAGACGAAAAATCCCTTTTCTCAGGGTACTCTGTTTTCTCAAAGGCCAAGTAAATGAAAGATTAATGCAGTACCCAAATAAACATACTGAGTCAAGATGACACACTTTATATCCAGTCAGTAAGAAATTCACAACAAAATAAACACCTATACCATGGCTTACTTCCGGGAACCTACGTCCGTCAGTGTACATTTGAAGAGATCAGTCCTAAAAGACCCGTAAGAAGAAACAAAATGACACGGAAGCTTCAACGATTTCCGGAGTGGGCTATTCAACATCTACAAAATTCAGACCATCAAGATAAAATGTCCATATTTCTTCGGATAATTTTGTCGAACACGTGAGATACAAAACTTTGGAAACTGATTAAACTAATCTACAGTAGGCCTAACAACTAATTAAACTAAAATGCAATTAGGGTATTTGCTAAATCAGCGGTGGGGTGGTGGCGGCGACAGACGGAGGGCTGGTGAGGAAGAAGGCTCTGACACCACTGGCAGTGGAGGGGCAGCAGCGTATTTGGCTATAACGCCTCTTACTATGGGTGGGCAGTGGCATAAAGGAAAGAGGGCAGTGGCACAAAGGGAAGAGGGCAGTGGCGCAAAGGGAAAGAACAGAGAAAGGTAAAGAGACAGAAACACAGAGAGAGAGAGGGAGAGAGACAAATGTGTCCCTGGACAGCGACGTTGGCTGGTGGTAGATGAGCAACAGCATAAAGAGAAGAAATTGAACCAAAAAAGGAATCAAATCCATTGAATATAAAACCTGGTTCAGCCACTGTGGAGTCAATTATAAAACCCCAAATCAGAGAGAGAGGAAAAAAATGAGGTCCAGTGAACATTTCATCGAGCAGGTGTGGAAAGAGAGAAAAGGGTGGAGGCAGTGGTCGAACTGGAGTTTGAATGCAGCAGTGACAGAGGAGAGAAAGGGGGTGCACGCGATGGCTGGCCAGGGGTTTGGAGGCGGTGGCGATGCGATGTTGGTAGGGGGGGGGGTGTGTGTGAGAGAGAGAGACGTTCTGTAGGACTGTCCATGGGCCGAGCCCGTGAATTTTTTTTAGGTTGGGTTTGAATAGTGTAGGCCCAAGTTTTTACCTGGACGAGTTATCAGGCAGGCCAAGCCGGGCTTTAGGGTAGGGGTAAACTACTCACAGCTCAACCCGTCACCTATTGAGCGGGCTTTGTGGACGGGCTTTTTTGGCTGGCCTGATTGGGCAGGCTTCTTGGGCTTGTTTGGATGGACTTTGTTGGGCTTATTGGATCCTATTAAAAAAATATATAATTTTATTTAATTTTTTTATAAATTATATTTTTGAATTAAAAGTATAGCCAAAATCAAAATTGATAAAAATTAAATAATGAATAATTTTATTTATGAATAGAAGAGAAATTGCATCATAATAAATTAGTACATCCCAACTAAGTTGACACTTACCTACCTATCTATCATTTACACAATTCTACTCATTAAAGGCTTTTATGCATGAAATGCGTGTATATTTAATGCATGAAAAAAATGCATTATTCATGATATCTAAAATTTCAAATTCTGGCATTGAGGGATTTATTTTCATATTTTGATCGGGCTAGGCAGACAGGTTTTAATGGGTTTTTGTAAGCGGGTTATTGGTTGGGTTTCGAGCAGAGTAGTAGGTTTAGGGGTAAACTCAAGGCCTTTCTTAAAGAATATTGGACTCGGGCTCAGCCTGGCCAACTAACGGGCCTATCAAATTTTGGGTTTTATTTTTTTGGGGCAGGGTAATGGGACTCGTGGGTAACCCGGCCCATGGACACCCCTAGCATTGTGTGTCGCGTTTGAAGCCGAATAGTGGTGGGGTGGGGTTTGGAGGCGGCGGTTCTATGTTGTTCGCTGGGTGTAATTAAGACCATCAGATCAATAATTTCGTCAAACAAACTGAATTGTGAAAAACTAAAAACAAACTTTTTCAAGTACTTTATTATACAAATATATAGATTATATAATTATTTTTATTATACGATAAGGGTATAATACTACATTTTGTACTAAAATATTGTATACGATATAATATATGTTTATTGTAGACATGTATTATACAATAAGGGCTTGTTTGGTAATACTGTCTAATACAATATAGATAGAGAAAAAATAAGATTAAATATGATATTAGAATATTACTTAATTTTATCTAGTGTTTGACTATAAACAATATAAGCATTAGATAATAATTATTTAATACAATCGGTTGTTTGTTAGAGAATTATTTCATCGTATTAATGTTGAATTAACAAAAATATCCTCAATCAGTGTTTGTTACATTGATGACAGTTTGATTTTATCACTTGAGAGATTATAATAGTAAATGTGTAGAATAATACGTTTGAGTTAGATTATAATACCACATTTCTTGGTAGTATTAAAACATCTTCATAATACAGTTCTATTGTACAAAAAATATACGAGGGGCTTGTTTGGTTGTCGTATTAGAAATTGATTGATTGAATAAAATAATATAGTCTAACACAATACAGATGGATAAAATACAAGATTAAATAGAGTATTAGAATAATAGGTAATTTTATCTATTATTTGACAATGCACAATATAAACGTTGGAGAGTAGTTATTTAATACAATTAATTGCTTGGTTGTGAAACTATTTCTTCGTATTAATGTTGAATTAACAAAAATATCCTCAATCAATGTTTGTTACATTAATGACAGTTTGATTTTATCAACTAGGGGGTTATAATAGTAAATGTATAGAATAATACATTTGAGTTGGATTATAATACCACTTCTCTTTGTAGTATTAAAATATCTTTATAATACATGTCTATCGTGTAAAAAATATACGATTAATATACGTTTTTGAAATTAGTATGATATTAAATTTATTTACCAAACTAAATATTATGCCCGATTAAATAAAAAAATAGTACAATCCAATATTTAATCCTCTCATCAAACGTCTACCAAATGAGCCCGATAAGTATACATTAAATATACGTTTTTGAAATTAATACAATATCAAATTTCCTTACCAAATAAAGTATTAGGTTGATTAAATAAAAAATAATACAATTCAATAATTAATCCCCTCATAATAGGTCTACCAAATAAGCCCTAAGTGAATAATATGTGAGATTGTGACGGTTAATACGGTAAAATAATAAGTTTTGTTACTTTTGTCGGACAACAAACTCTTACAACGGGTGCCAGTGAAATTTTAGAGAATGTAAGGGGTGTGCTTGAAGATAAGGTATTCTACCGGCAGTGTAGATGAAGTTTTTTCTAAATTTTTTATTCTTGGGTTATATGGGTCGAGACGAATAAAACACGAAAATAAATACATTGAGTTGACATGACCCAAACCCAACCCATAATTAAATAAGATGAGTTTAGGTTGACTAATATTCAATACGAGAGTTCCTTACACATTATAATAAAGGAAAACCAATCTGGTTAATCACGTTTGACCATTTCGGTGGAAGTGAAAAATATTAATAGTGTCACCGTTTATGATAAGTGAACAATGGAATCTAATACAATTGAATAACCATCAATACATACAATACAATAACCACTCTATATAACCAAATTAGGTTTACTTTATTTATTTTTAAATTTTATTTTGAACTTTGAAATCAGATGACACTAATAATGAGTTATAACAATTACATTAAATATTTACTTGTGTAAAAGGGGACGCAGATCCTCTACTGTGCCAAAGGAACAAAAGGTTGTGCTGTTCTGTCGAAACTATTTTTTTTTTTTTTGGATCAAACGGCACCGTTTGAATATGACGTGACCAGTACATCAGACCCCTATTCAAACAAAAACCTCCAAGACCCCGCCATTCTTCCGACAATGAATCCCAAAATTTCTATCGAACGACTTCCTTCTTTCTTCTTTCTTGCACACAATTAATCCCCCCCCCCCCCCTCCAATCTCTAAAATCTTTCTCACTCACTCCACAGAGGCGAGGTAAGGGGATCTTATGAATTTTTGTATATACATATATTTTTGTATATATGGATATGCATACATAGTGGCGAATAGAATATTATGTAGGTTGATTTTTATTTAATATTTCATTATGTGTTCATAATGACAATTAAGTTGGGTTAATGTGAATAGACACACGCATTAACACCCTTAATCTTATTGGATTGTTTGTCTTCGAACAAAATAATATGTGTTGAATTGTTTGATGACTGTTTAACTATTTTGATCTACTTCAAGATTGATGAGTGGGGTTGTTTTTGTATTTACATTGAAGCTTGTTTTAATGCTAATACATTTTAGGTATTGTTATCAGGTACTGAAAACTATGATGGAGGCGACTGTGGTTAATGAAATTACCAACACTTTAAGTATCAGTATGAAGTTTGACTTAGATGAGGATCCTTATGAGTTTTTATAACAAATATGTGGTTCGGTTGGATTTAGTGTGAGAAAAAGACTATCATAATAAAAGTGAGATAAATGGTGCATGGGTGAATTCCTGCAATGGATAAAGATAACGATCCACTAAATGATGAACTTGAAACAATCAAAAGGTTAGGAAATGGGTCGGGTGAACACTCAGCTAATCCCCTCCCAAGTTTAAGTCAGTCAGCATTTGAGACATAAGCATAATGTTTTTCTGTGTTTAGGTTGCGTATATTTATTCAACTTTCTGAGGAGTATTTATACTTGAACTAATAATGATTAGAGGGTCTGAGGGTCCCACCTCATCCATAAAATCCAAGCATAATGAGTATAGTCCAATCAAATCCCCTCAAGTTCAAGCCTCTTGGGAGAATAAATCTGTGTTCAAAAACCCCCAAGCATTAACTTCCCATGCTGATCATTTAAGAGGCTCGGCTCAGTGCTTGATACATACGCCCGAGCGTTAATTGCTAGGGAACAAACACCTCGGGGCTTGCCTAAGATAAAGGATCGATGTCATGACAATTAATGCTTTACAATGATGATTGTTTCTTCGGGTCTCGAGGACACATAGGCTCATTAATGGCCCTGTCACAGTCACTCAAATCGCCATTAATGAGCTGTCTTATCATTTTTAATGTTGGGCTCAATCAGTGCGTATTTGGTTCTTCCAAGTCATAACTCATCGACTCCTTCTCCTAGCGCCCTTTGAGGTCCATAATAGTTATAAGTGTCCACGTGTCACCTTGAGGGTGCTGAGCTACCTAGAGTCCAGTCAGATGGTATTTTGATTTATAGAAAATATGTTTACTGAAAAGAGGGCCAAAGAGAAGTGGATAATAGGGACCGAAATGTAACAAAGCCGTGAGCTGAGACACCAAGCAAGTGTATGACTCACATATGTATATCCCTTAATCGATAAATTGGAAAATATGTGATGGTCAAATGGGAGGATGATAACAATCATCAATTACATCTTAGGGAATGTATGCATACAAATTCATTTCAAAGGAAGGTTTCTACAATGCAAAGCATTCATGTTGACATGACAGTATATTGTGGGCTTTCACTTAAAGATTCTTATATATGAAACCTAGGCAGGTGGAATGGAAAGTTTAGGGTTCACTCGTCTAGGCCAAATGAATTATATCCGTGAAAATAAGGCAACAAAGTTGAGATATGGTGAACTTGATAGTTTGTTGAATTATTTT